TCACCTTTAACTCAGCAATCCTGTTTCTGGCAGTCAATATTGGGGAGAATGAAGCTTTATATTTAGAAAAATATGTTAAAATTGAAGTGAAAAACACAACTCTTAACAGACCCACATGTAGACAAAGAATCCAGGTCTGAGACCCAGATCCCCTTGTGTGAGTCTTAGGTCACAGACACACTGCGTTTCCAAGGAGAGCCTCTGGCTTTCTTGGAGGCTTAGGTCGGGAACTCAGCTTTATGAACAGTATCTTATTTAGTTTTCACCAGCGTTTTAAGGACCCATAATTTTTTCCACTTTGAAGATAGTGAGATTGAGACCTGGAATGGAGGGAATGTGTTCTCCTGGCTATTGTGTGACAGAGTCAAACTGCTATGATCACAAAACCTCCACTCATTCCTCCATGCAGAACTGCCCCTTCATAGGTATGAAGCAAAAAAACACCAGTTATCTCACTATCTCGGGTTCTGCAATGCCCCAGAGGGGCCCAGATGTGGAAGCAGCTAGAAGAGCAACAGTGGAAACTCAGATTTGCAAATATTATGTCTCCAGCAGTGAGTTTTCTTACTGAGAATGCTTTCACCTAACAGGTGATTTAAATATGAGTGTAAATATACAATTAAGGTAACTAGGGAGGGCTTGACAAAGTACCACCAACAGGAAAGGCCAGGGCTCTGCTATGTGAGGTTAAGTTCCTGGATTCACATGCTGATGTGAACCTCCTCTAAGAAGACAAGAAATCCGAAAAACTATAAATGTCGGGAATAAACAGAGGTGCTACTTCAGGACAATAGAATAAAATAACAGAATAGGAATTCAAACAAAATAATCAGGGAGAGCTGAGTGATATTTCAATCTGATATAATTTCAATTTATATAATTCAAGAAATGGAGGGCAAGTTTGAAAATATGTAGTATTAAACTGGAAACACATCTACATACCTTAGGAGCCAAAGAAATCAAAAAATCTATTCGAAGGGTGTAGCTAGCTATCTTAGTTAAGAATTACAGATATAATCGGAGTTGGAAATTTGATAAGCATGACTTGAATCTAAATGTGTTTTATGAGCACTGCTTTAATTAATGAAGTTCCTATTACAGACTATTGCATACTCCACCATTGCCATAAAGACCAGGTCACAGCTTGGTCCATGTCACTAAGAAACCTCAGCAAGCTGAGAAGACAAAGACAAAACAAAACAAAACAAAGCAAATTACCATGGGAAGGTAACCCCAGTCCTGTAGGAATGAAACTGAGTTCCTTAGAGGGTAAGCATATTAAGACTCAGTCCAGAACATAAAACACACACACACACACACACACACATGAACACACACTTACACACAGTTTGATTGATCTCACCCTAAAATCCTGACAAGACATCTTACTTTTTTTTTAATCCAGTTGGGCAGTATACCACACTTCTGTATCTCATCGCTCTCCTACTGTGCTAGATTTTAACTCTCCTCAAACTTTCAACATATTGATATCTCCCCTGTCCCATCTCTGCTGGTATCTTTGCTTTCTATTTCACTAGAAAAACAAAAGCAAATGTTCACCACCTATCTACACTGCCCTCCATTCTGAGTTAGACGGACTATTCAAGCACCTAGTGAAGGACAAACTGCGTTATGCACTAAGTTCCCACCCACATTTGCTTACTTCAGACATTGATCCACAAACTGTCTTTCTTTCTGCCATATTATCAGGGTTAACCCTCATTGAATCACTCATATCAGTATTCAAGCCCATTAGAAACTAGACTTCACCTATATTTTTAATTCATTTTTACATAGAAGACCTGGGGTGCAGGTCATAGGCACAGGGGGTGAGAGGATTCACCAGGGACAGAGTAGGGAGCAGAACAGGCAAATGCACTGAGATACACTGCTGAGGGGAGCAGTGGGCAAGACAGGAGAAGGCTGCTGCACAATGTGGGCCACCTCCCCGGCTGGGGAATCAAACTCATGCTGCAGTGGCTGCCAGAAGAAGCTTGATAGTGCTGAGGGGGGCCCCTTCAATGTATTTTTTAAAACACTCTTGACCTACCACCACTTCCAGGCAGTAGCCTGTTTCTCTGCCCCCTTTCATGGCAAAACTCTTTAAACTGTCTTCGTCTCCTCTTCAATGCCTTAACCCCACTTTAGTCAGGTTTCCATTCCTCTCTTTCACTGAACTGTCTGTTGAGGGCTGCCAAGACCTCCATTTTGCTGAATTCAGTATCCTAGTCATAATCCCCATCCCTCCTCACCAGCAAACATCATTTGAAATAGTGACCATGATATACTTGTTTTCCAGCTGGACTTTCAAGGGAACATCCTGCTCCCCTTCTTCCTCAATGACCACTCTTCCTAAGTCTCCCTTGCTTGTTCCTTTTGTTGGGTAGTCTTTCTCCAGCTGTCCTTCAAGTCTTTGTCAAATACTTCTTTCTCATCAAAGTCCCTATCGGCCACCTGTTAACGTGCACTCTGATGTAATTAGGATGTTTCTTGTCTTTTGTCCCTACCTGGTCTATGTTAGAATTTAAAGAGAGCAAGGATTATTGTGTTTGGTTAGGTGGTCAGACTAGTGAGTAGACATGATGCTCAGTAACAGGTGCTGAAAGAGCAAAGTAATGGGAGGTATTAAAGTTCTTGTGACAAGGAACCTGTGCATACTTGACATTTAAAATGTAGTACTTGGAATATTTAAGAGTACTTATACAAACAGAATCATATTCAGCCTTGTAATTCTAATTTGAAAATATATAAATTGAGTAAATAATTTACATGAGGCATCTTAAGTAAAACTAATTATAGACTGTTTGGGCACACCATATTTATACTTTATTAGATTTTCGTAGAATCAGTAATGTACTTGAGAAAATTTGTTGAAGACTTCAAAGGCAAATATATTAAATTTATAAAAGCAATGTAAAATAGTTAAGAAGGTTTAAGATTGTTGAGGAGACCAAATATCCACATATATTACCTTGATTATTAATTATTTGAATTTGCTAGACTTAGAAATAATAAAATCCACAAGTTGAATGTGAAGTTCAATTAATAATCAGGCTTTATCTTAATTTTAGTAGGTTATTAGTTTTTAAAAGGAAAAACTCTAAATGGTCTTCTTTGGGTGTGTATATGATACACACATGCCACACACACACCCCAACAACTGAAGTTACTGAAGCATTTCACTAGTGACCTCCAGTGTCTGAAGAGAGAAACAACACTTGTAAAGACAACATTTAAATGCTTAGTAACCACCCAATAAAATGGACAAAGGCAAAATTTTCATCAATGAGTATAGAGTACTTTATTTTCAATATAGAAAAAAATCTCATGTGTGTTTCAAATATTCATAAGTCCTGGGATGGGAGACTTAGACATATAAGTAGGAAAGGAAAAAAAATCAAAGGAAAAATAGACTAGATAGAATCTTCTATAGACATTAAGGGAGTAAGGTTTTCTAGCAGAACCAAGGGGAGAAAGTATAAAAATAATAGATGGTGCTGAAAATGAGAGTATTTTTCCTTAGCAAAGGGGATATATGAAGATTCAGAATAATTTAAAGAGGGAGATTGAGAGAAATAAAATCAGTTATGGTCAGATATATGTCCTTTCAATAGAGTTAAAAACAACAATGTCCTCTGGTGTTTTGCTGTTTAGTAAATATTTGGATACCTACTCTATGTCTGACACTATAGAACACAGTTGCCTCAAGATCATTAAGTTATGTTGATAGCCATCAAGTGTAGTTAAATCATTACCTCATTGACCTCACTCTCTAAGGAAAGTACTATTCCCTCTCAATTCCAGTATTAAATGTGAAACCAAAAACATTAAGGGAATTGACCAAAATCAACAGATAATTGAAGATGGAACTTGGACTAAGACCCAATGTCACTTCATCTCCTTAATGACTGTTAGAAAACACAGCCTCTGTCATAGTGTGCTTCCTATTTTTTGATCGATTTCAAATTCCCTTGGTCCTTCATTTACAATGCAGATTCAGAAATACAAAATAAGAAATGATAGCAAGAAGAGACATTTAAAATAAATATATTAATACCCTTCCCAGATCCCTCAGAAGTAGCAACATAACTTCAAAATCCATCCCCCTATCCTCTATATGCATGGCACAGCGTCAGGTGCTAGAAACACAAAGGTTAAGAATAAAAGTCTGCTCTCTTAGAAGTCACAATTTAAAAGAAAAATTTAAAAAGAACAACACTAACACACCTGCCCTGAACATATTGAGGTTAAGAAGAGACAAATTGGAGGAGTTAAACTGAAGTTAAACATTCTAGATGAAGGAGTTACCTGAGAGTGAGCTACCTGATCAAGGGCAACACCATAGCCCAACAGAACACCTTTACACAACTTGTTCACCTTAATTGAATCATTAGACTAAATGTGGTTTTGTAAAGTCTGACTCATGGTTTTAATGCATTTGCAGCTATTTTATTCATTGTAAAATTATAACTTGTCTGTAAATGGGAGAGTTTAGTGCCAAAAATTAATTCCAAAATTGTTCTTGTTGCTTATTTGTGTAAAAAGTAAACTGAGTTGAAAGGGAAAAAAATCACACTGAATACTCATTTAATTACTGCACAAAGTATAGCCCCAGGGAAATGGACACTCTTAGTATGTTTTCCTTCTCAAATATAGGAGAAAGCATAAACTTTAGGGGTTCATGATCTCTTGGTTGAAAAAACACAAGAATTAAGTCAGATTTCTATTCTGACAAAACTAAACAAAACTTACATGATCTAGTAGCTCAAAATAACTTCCAAACCTTCAAAGATTCACAGGTTGCATTGCATACTTAGATGAAGAGACTAGAAATTCGTGTCCCTTGTGATTACTGAGCCATTTAATTTAGAGTGGAATCTATGGTCTTACTTGATTGCTTTCCTTTGTCTTCTAATAAAGAAAACTCTACCCACTATATGTATAAGGTCCTGAAAAGAAAGCATGACGCTTTAATATCCATTTTCACCACTTATATTTAATCAGAAACTTCGCCCTACTTCTTCATAATCCTTCTCCAGGACTGCCAAGTCCTCCCTGGCCTCTGAGAACTCCCCATCTTCCATGCCTTCTCTAAGATACCAATGTAGAAATGCCCTCTTGGCATACATGAGGTCAAACTTGTGGTTCAGGCGGGCCCAGGCATCCACAATTGCTGTGGTATTGCTCAGCATGCAGACTGCCCGCTGGACCTTGGCCAGCTCCTCTCCTGGCAATACTGTGGGCCCTTGCCTATTGATGCCCACCTTGAAACCAGTTGGACACCAGTCTACAAACTGAACAGAGCTCTTTGACTTCATGGCTGCAATCGCTGCATTCACATCTTTAGGAACCACATCTCCTCTGTACAGCAGGCAGCAGGCCATGTACTTCCCGAGTCGAGGATTGCACTTAACCATCTGGTTAGAGGATTCAAAACAGGCAGCAGTGATGTCTGCCACCGAGAACTCCTCATAGTAGGCCTTCTCCGCAGAGATGATGGGTGCAAAGGTTGTCATAGGGAAATGTATCCTCGGATAAGGTACTAGGTTGGTCTGGAATTCAAGAAGATTCACATTTAAGAATCCTTCAAACCTGAGAGAAGCAGTAATGGAAGATATCACCTGACCTAACAGCCTATTAATGTTGCCATAAGACGGACGTTCAACACCAAGTTTATGATGGCATATGTCATAGATGGCCTCATTGTCCACCATGAAGGCACAGTCTGAGTGTTCTATGGTGGAATGGGTGGTGAGGATGGAGTTGTAAGGTTCGACTACAGCAGTGGCAATTCTGGGAGCTGGATAGACGGAGAACTCCAATTTAGTCTTTCTGTTATATTCTACTGAGAGCTGTTCCATTAGAAGAGATGTAAATCCTGATCCAGTGCCTCCTCCAAAGCTTCGGAAAATCAAGAATCCTTGAAGCCCGTTGCACTGTTCTGTCTGGGGAAAGCAAATGAGATATGAGAACTCAACCATACATCCAGAAGCAGAGGTCATGGTGGGACACAATTCCAAAAATAAACAAAGCCCTCAGAAGTGATGACTGCCATTACTGACTCTCCAACAAACTTATCCCCTTGAATCATATTGGTGACCTCTGGAGTGGGGGAAGTGCTTTAGTTTTACTGTAAGCAAAGTATAAATTTTCAGTGGTCTTTCCCTGCCCTCAATGCATTTATCTGTAGGTGATCTAAGGTAAGTTCATTATCAGTCACAAAGAAAAAAGGAAAAAATACTAGCAAAATATTGAAGCAAAATACCTCCAAGCAGTAGATCAAGTGCATATCACCCTCACATCCAATCTCATTACCCAGTGACTATGCCTAACACCAGAACATTTACTGTGCAAAAGGGTCTCTGGATGCAGGATACTTAGACATAGCTCTCAGTAAACAGAGTAGGGTTTCACTCCTGATAACTTACAGGTAGTGGTTACTGATGGAAAATGACCGGTTTAGGAGTGCTCTGTAAGTCTCTGATAAGAAGACAAACTGTACCTTAGCAGTAGGATGGGGTTATTCTTAAAAAATGGAGGAAACCAAGAGCCCTCCCTGGTGGTGCAACAGGTTAAAGCACAGCACTATGAAGCTATCACAGCCACTGCAGCACGAGTTCGATCCCCAGCCCTGGAGGTGACCCACATGGCGCAGCAGACCTCTCCTGACCTGCCCACTGCTCCCCTCAGAGTGTACTTTGTCAATCTTTCTGTTCCACTGCCCACTGTCTCTCTCTCTTGTGAATTCTCTCACCATCCCTGCACCTCTGGCCCATACCCCAGTTTTGTATGCATAAATAAATAAATCTTTAAAAAAAAGGGAAGGAAACAAAGCCATATGCAAGAACATGGATAAACCTTGAGGGCATTATGCTAAGTGAGATAATTCAGAAAGACAAAAACTCCTTAACCTTACTTATTTGTAGAATCAATAAAGGGGACAGCTTAGAAACAGAACAGAATACTATTGATAGTTGCCAAAACCTCAGGGGAGGGAGGGAGAGGGAAATGGGGAGATGCTGGTCAAAGGATTAAAAGTTCAAGTTATAGGATAAAAAACTTCTAGGGATCTAATGATTATTACAGTTAATACTATCTCATAAACATAAAATTTTCTAAAGAGCAGCTCTTAAGTGTTCTTACCACCAAAAAAAAAAAAAACCAAGGTCATTATGTGAGATGAAAGGTGTGCTAACTAACATTATAGAGGTAAACATTTCATAATGCATATGTGTGTTAAATCATCAAGTTGCATGCCTTAAGCTTATATTATGTTATATGCTGATTAATATTGCAATAAAGCTGAGGGAAAGAGTATTTTTTAATTTCCTCAGATAAATATTTAAGGAGTAGATAGGAGTCACACAGGAACATGTCTTTCACCCTTCCTACAGCACCAAGTGTAACTGGAGCCAACATCAGGCCCAGTCTTCCAACAAGTAGTGATATCTACTTTAGTTCCATGGGTGTTTAAGAAGTTGTATTCATATTTGTAAATGTATATTGTGTGTAAACTAGTACATTCAGATTGTAGTTCTAATAAATTCAGATAGTTTTTCAAAAAGAAAAAGAAAGGAAGAAGGCAGTTGGTGACAGTGGTACGCAGTGCTAGTGACTCTCAAGAGGTGTCTGCAGGAACAATGGAGAAGGGAACCACTTACCAGTTTCCGGATTCTCTCTAATACAAGGTCAATGATCTCTGAGCCCACAGAGTAATGACCTCGGGCATAGTTGTTAGCAGCGTCTTCCTTTCCACTCACAAGCTGCTCAGGGTGGAAAAGTTCTCGATATTTGCCTGTTCGAATCCCCTCTGCAGAAGGAAAGCAAGTCAGTGCATCTCCCTCACTCAGTGGCTACCGCTGTATATCTTCACACAGCCATGTACCCTGACCCCAATTCTTTTCACTAATACTGTAGTAAAGTACTAAATTTTAACTATCTTCCTAAGTCTAGGAAAAGGTATAATTTTTACATGAAGACTGAAATCAGACTTTGTTAATTTCATATGACTACTCATATAAATCAAATAAATTAGAACCTGACTTAAAACATGAGAAACTTATTTTCTAACAGTTTGGGAGACCAGAAGCCCAAAATAAGGCTGTTGGCAGGATGGGATTCTGGTGGGGTTTTTGAGGGAGACATTGCTCTGGGCCCCTTGCCTAGCTTCTTGCGACTATTGACAATTTTTGGAGTTGCTTGGCTTATAGCAGCATCACCGCAATCTCTGATTCCATAATTCATTGTCTCTTGTCCCTGTCTGTGAGGACATAGGTCATTGGATTTAGAACTACCCTAGCCCAATGAGACCCATTCTTACCTAAATACATTCACAAAGACCTTATTTCCAAGCAAATACATATTCTGGGGTTCCAGGTGAGCATAGACTTTTTAGGAGACACTATTCAACATGGTACATACCCTCTGACACATGGGAATTTTTTCTATCCTCAAATAGCAGCTGGGAAAACATAACTTACCAATATAAATTACTATTCGTATGCTTTTAAAAAGACCTTAATAAAGGTTAGGAAAACTCAAATGCAGTATTCTGTGTAGACAATTGCATCTCTTGCTGAGGTTCACTGACTTTTAAAATCCTGAGAAGCATGAAAACATCAAAACACAACCTGTCTCACAACCCCATCTTAGAATTACTCAAAGAGAACAATTCCGGAAGAGTTACACAGCCATGTTTGTTGTAAGTGGGCCTGGAAAACGTTGCCATGGTGACAGTGGGCACTCCATCCCATAGTAGTTAATAGCATGCAGTCAAGAATCAGTTTTCTCATTCATAAGTTGCCTTCCTCACTTAACTCTACAGCAGTGACTTAGCCTCTCTGAGTCTCATTTGTCTCATCTTGCAAATAAGGACTACAGTAAGACTGATCCCAATGAATTATGAGTATCATGTCTTAGGACATGATGCATGATCCATATGACAACAAATTAAAAAAAAATCTGGGCTCAGGACATATATTTATGCAAAGCTGCCTTAGTGGCCTTGAGACAAGTGGGCATATAATTCTGGGAAGACCATTTACTTCTCACCTGACATTGACTTCAGTCTAAAGGGGTTATTTATGGAAGCTCTTTCTTCATAGCAAAGAACAATTAGGATCTTGAGATCAGGTTTGCCATTACCAGCAAGAAGTCTTTCAGTAAAATCCCCTTTCTATTTCCTGATGACAGCACTGACAATCACAAGTACACCCATGCTGTCCAGTGTAACTGCCTAGCACTCTCCCACTTCAGAGACTCCAGTCTCTGGTCCAGTATCTTGAACCAGCATCCTTGTGTCTTTCAATGGGTTTTACCTTCTTTTCCTCATCTTACCCTATTGGCTCCACTTCACTTGAGGCTTCATCATGCACAAATGCACCCCCAATCTTAAATTTGCAAAATCTTACTCTGCCCACATTTCCTTACTTCCCCCAATGAGAGCTATGAGCCTCCAAACTATTTTCCCAGCTTCATCTCCACTGTTCTTCTACATACACCTAGGTTTTAGCTTCTGGCTCCAGTGAAACTTGTGTGTCCTGCCAACCCTAAGGGAATTTGAAAGTTCTGGCCCTTTGTGGGAAGCTACATGATGGTTCCATTAGTCATCCCTTCCTTTGTGATACCTCTGAACCTTGCAGAAATTTCTATTATAAGTTTGAATTACATGAAATTGACATTTTTAAGTTTAAAAATGGTCATCCATTGGTAATTTTATGTGGTTCGATATAATATGTTTATTAGTTTATATGTTTATTATTTATAACTCTTCACATTTTCTTCTCCACTATGTTTTTCTGCTTCCCTGTTAAAAGAGAATGAATGGCTCTTCTAAGACAGCAAATCACGTGACTCAAACCCAGTTCTGTCCTCAATAATTCAACTATGTCAAGTAAATTTCATAACCTCCCCGAAACTCAGTTTCCTCATCTATAAACTGAGAATGACAATCATCATGTTTCCTGACAGAAATGTTGAAAGGACTAAAGCAAAATATCTATGTGGTTCCTCAAGTAATAAACAACTTTGAACTGAGTATTCCCAAAATGCATCTGTTGAAGCCCCAGTTACCAATAGAATGTTACTTGGAGGTGGGAGCTTTGGAAGGCAATTAGTTCAAGAGGGTGGTGCTCTTGTGAATGGGATTTGTCCCCTACAAAGATGATCTTGCTACCACATGAGGAAGTGGTAGTAGGAAGGTGGTAGTCAGCAGCCAGGCTGCTATGTTGCCACCCTGATTTTGGACTTCCAGCCTCCAGAAATGTAAGAAATAAATTTTTATTGTTTAAGCCACCAGCTTATGGTATTTTGCTAAACTTCCCAAACTAAGATAGTAGAAGGGCAGGAATCAGCATTTATTTATTGAATCTCTCAGCCTTCCCTTTTCTCCACCCCTCCTTCCTCCGCTGCATTTTCATTTGTCTCTGTACACAGAGTGGCTAATGGTCAGTGGCATGGGCTTGCTGCCAGCCCAGAGTTCATCCTCACCCTGCCCCCACCTTGTGTGCAACCTGAGTGACCTCCATCACCCAGTACAGTAGATGAAAGACAAGCAGGAACTTTGCTCCCTGATCCCCTTCAAATCCATATTGAACAGACTCATCTTTCTTCACTTTGACACTCTTTTCTACTTTTCAAAATTAACTCTAAACTATTCCTTTCTTCTTGTTCTTACAAACCATCCCCATTATCCCTTGTCCTGAATAATCACGTCCTCATTGTCCTTGAAAGAAGAAAGAGGGAGAAGGATAAGCACAAATCACAGTCTTTCCTGCCCACCTAAGTATACTTCCTCCCCTTTTCTCCTTTGCTTCTGCCTAAAAGTATTCTCAATGGAATTCTTGAAAAATACAATCAAAAATGCATTTTCTCCATTCTAAAACCACTAACACTGACTTGGTCAGGATCACTACCCACTTTCACGTTATGAATATCACATTTGGTGATAACTCTGTGAGCCCCACTTTTCACTAAACAACTATGTTTCCATTTTTTCAACTGGAACCAATCTGCTGACACTTTAAGTTTGTCATGCCCACAACTGAACTTACTTTATTACCATAAAAATAGGCCCTACCCTGGAATTCCTATTTCATTGTAGATCCATCTCATTATTGAGTCAGTAAAATCTGAATGGCACCTCCTACTATCTCTAGAACATTCATTGCACTTATATCAGGTTAGAAAACAATGCAGTTATCTCTCGGCTTCCATGCTAGTCTCACCTGTTCTTAAAGTCATCAGTACCTCCATAGTTTTAATTCTGTCTCAACATCTAGCAGAGAAATACTGAATTTGTATATTCAATATTGAGACATGCTGGCCTTGATAATTCTCAACATCCCCCTTTTAATAAAACCTTTTTTTCATGTTGATGTCACTCTACTTTCTCCATTAGTTTGTTACTTGGTCCCAACTTCTTTCTGATAAAGAAGTAAATTTCAAGGTAGTCTGTATAGACTGGATTTTCCAAAAATGGACACCATATTTCCCTCCCACATGTGCTTTTCGAATCTACCTATTTCTGTCTCCAAAAGGTGGAATCTATGTCTCATCCCTGAGTAGGCAATTTCCTCAACTCCCTAAAAACAGCTGAACTAATATTATGTGATTTCCAAAGGTAGGTTATAAAAATGCCATAGGCTTGTGCCTTGGTATCTGGGATTCTTGCTCTTGGAACACAGCTGCCATGCTGTGAGACAATCCAACCAGTGCACAGAGAGCCTCCTGTCACCCACAGTCCAGGCCAGGTTCCCAGCCAACAAGTAAGCTAAGCAAGTAAGCTTTCCACTTTCAAAGTGGAGCCCCCCAGCCTCTGTTGAGGCTTTCTAGCTGATACCATGTGACACAGAGGGAACTCTCCCACATTGTAGATTCATGAACAAAATAATAATCATTTTTTTTCAGTTCCTAACTTTTGATAATAGCGTATTACACATCAATATAATTGATATCTAGTTATTAAACCAAAATCCATCCTGTTCTCGAATCTTTTTGTTAAGTCACTATCACCCCTTCTCTCTACAGCATTTCTCTAGCTCTATTTCAAGTATTTTTATATAAGATACTATAAAATCTATCATTCATAGTCATAAAATGATTTTGATTTCCCACACAATGAGTAGATTTGTTTCCTTGTTTCTATGGAGTCATTTTTGAATATTCTATTCTTAAGCAGGTAGGTAATGCAAATTTTTGAGATTCTTTGTCAGAAGGTGCAAAGTCCATTGAATTTGGTGTGTATGAAAAATAAGGTTTTAATTTATTTCACCACACAGAAAAAGGAGGCCAGCTCATCTTCATTCTGGATATACCTGTCATGTTGATCACCTGAAATGGTCATTGAGTGCCCATCTAAATTTGGAAAAGGCCCACATGAGGCTGTTTAGATTAATTATATAAATAATTTGCTCATCCCACCCACTGATACTATATTTGATATTGGTTTCAAGTACACTGGAGTATAAACTTTATGTTACCTATAACAGTTGGCTCTAGGTCCATGAAGAGTGCTCTGGGGACCTGCTTCCCAGCTCTTGTCTCACAGAAGAATGTATCAAAAGTTGCTTTCACATGATCCATTTTCACATTTCCCAGCAGATCCGCTCTGTGGTCAAGAATGATTCCATCTGGCTGGATTCCATGTTCCAGGCAATAGAGTTCCCAACAAGCATCCCCAATTTGGACTCCAGCTTGGCCAATGTGAATGGAAAGACACTCCCTCTGAAATAAGCCACAGTATGTCATTGCTGAGGAGGCTTCTTAGACATGAGCTCAGAAACCAAGCCAACAAAAGATAATGATATAAGGATAATTAAAATTGTCTCATAGAAACCAAAAACCAGTGTAGAGTTAAGCTTCAGGAATAAGTGAGCCAAGGACTCCAATTCCATTAGAAAGTTCCTTTTAGCTATGTATATTAAACACTTCTTGTGTCCTGGGCTAAGAACTATGTTGTGATATCTATATATACATGTGTTTTTATACAATCATCATTTATATGTGACTATATATAGTCATATATACATATATAAAATTTGTTGACTCACTCAGAAAAAAACTAGCTTGTTGTTGGAAAGGAATAAAAACCAAAATCAATGTAAAACATTAGAATAAATTAAAATCCATTTCAAATAAGTTAAAGAAGTAGCCTTATATCTTGAAATTTTACACTCATTATTCATATAGGTTGTAATTAAGGAAGGCCATACTAACCTTAAAAGTAATGGGAAAATATCCAAGAAAACATGCAACAGATTTTCACAACTCCTAAAATTTTGAATATGTATCTATTTAAAAATAATTGAGTCATCCACAAGATACATATGAATTACACAATTACTTAGACATAGTAGTATTCACAGCACTGTTATTTACAGGAAAGAAAAAAATCAAGAACTAAACTACCCATTGTTGTACATTCAATGCAACCATTCAATATTTACCCAAAAAAAGTATGGCATGGGAGATGTTTATGATAAAAAGGAAAGTAAAAAAGTATGTAAGCTGTATAATTGTATTAAAGTATGTTATCAAATGTATTTTAAAATAAACATAAAAATCTTTTCTAAATGCATCAAAATATTAACTCTAGCTTGATCTTGATAGTGATTTTTTTCTTTTAAACTTTATTGTTTTTGTCATCCTCATCAGCCTCCACTCTTGTACCTCACTTTAAATCACCATTTCTTTTTTTTAAGGCAAATAACTTTTATTTTTTAATTTACACAGACACAGATAACTAGATGTCTAAATAAGGAGTAGGCATAAAATCCTAAAAATCTAAAGAAACAACAATTGCTGATTGTAATATTGTATAGTGAAGGAACAGGTCTGTGCAGGGTATCGTACAAGAATGGCCTGGGTCCTCCCTGGTAGCGCAACAGGTTAATGCACAAAACAGAGAAGCTAAAGCCACTTCCGCATGAGTTCGATCCCCGCCTACCCAGGAGGTGACCCACATGGTGCGACAGACCTCTCCTGGCCCGCCCGCTGCTCCCCTCAGCAGTGTACTTCATCAGTCTGCCTGTTCTGCTTCCCACTGTCTCTGGTGAATCCTCTCACTGCTCCTGCACCTCTGGCCTGTACCCCAGTTCTGTATGCATAAATAAATAAATAAATCTTTAAAAAAAAAAAAGAAGAATGCCCTGTTTCCTGTACCACCAGACCCCTTCAAATTGTTGGTCTGATAAGCTGTGAGGCAGCCCTGACCTCCCCATGGCTGCACTTTCCCAAATGCAATGTTATCAATCATTGGCCTGGAGTCCACACAGACAACTCCTGGGACAAACAGAGTGAGACAGACAGAGAAGAGAAAGAGAGAGGAATTGGTCACACCCCTGCAATCTGACTTGGACTCTGTTCCTGCTCAGAGTGCATCAGAAACCCTTGCACTTTGGCTCCTGGATTAAGAAGACATCAGACTTCTTTGCTTTCTGAGTAGCCAAGTTCACTGCTTGAATACAACTTCTTTTTCTTCTCCATGCAGGAATCAGTCCCTCATGTCAGAGACTAAGAAATAAATTTAAAAAGTACTTCACTTCACAGCAGCAAATATTCTAACCTCTACTGATACATAAAAACAACAAAACACATTCCATCATAAACAGTTTCATTCCTCTCCCCTCCTATGGGGTTTAAAATGATCTCAATACATTAGCTACTAAAATCAGATCAAAACTTGATTCATAGATTTAGTGGAAGAAGTAAAAGACGGGGAGAAGGTAATTCCTAATTTCCACATCATTAAAAGCACTTACTGTAAATTTCTGTCATAACATCCATCCTGGGCTATCTACCAATCAGTCCAGGATAGATATAGACAATATTTGTTCACAATATTCCCAGTGAAAATAATAACTAACAAACAAAAACAATTGCTACTTTTCATGTCCTGTTACCCAAGTGGTTCAGGAGTGAAACTGTGTGAACTCCACATGAATACTTGGTTGGAAAATGGCCAATTTGGTTCTTTCTGTTTTGAGAAACAGCTGAGTTTATAACAGAACTGTGTTGTAGGATATAGAAAGCCATCCCCACTGTATTCTTCTCATAGCCTTCCCCTCCTTTCCAAACTATCTATTCAAATATTAGTCACACTGTGAAATACAAGATTGAAAGATGCTTCCAACATTGATGAATCGCAGCACATTAATAAATAATGCAACAAAACTTATTTGAATTACTACAAAGGCACAATTTTCGACTTAGCTTTTTTATTTTGAAATAAATATGAATTGTGAATTGACATGAAGTTTTGAGAAATAATACAAAAAGATTTCATGTACCCCTGACCTATTTACCCCATTGGAACTATCTTGCAAGACTATATAGTACAGTATGGATATTTCTGTTACATACAGAAGATATATATCTGATACCATAAGAATCCCTCATGCAGAAAGGTAAAAAATTTTAAGTTAAGCCATTTAAACAATTTAAAGTGTTGGTGAGAAAACCCATTGGAATGAGAAGAACAAAGATAGAAGTTCAAAAGGTTGCTTCTATTTCAGAACTAAAGATTCTAAGACATTAAAAGTCACTGTGACTGGTACATAGGAGATTAAAAGGACAGTGATTTGAAAAGTTGGCATTCAAGCAGAATGATTATAATGGTACTCATCCTCTACCCCAATGAATTGAACTGAAGAGAGGACATGGACAATATTAGTGTACTTTACCATGTCAGCATTTAGAAACTTAGCAATATTAATTAACCTGACTTGAAGTCCCCAGAAACTCTAAAGGCATAATTAAAAGTGAAGCAATTGGCCCTCCCTGGTGGCGCAGCGGGTTAAAGCACAGCACTGAGAATCTAAAGCCACTTCTGCATGAGTTCGATTCCCGCCTGCCCCGGAGGTGGCCACATGGTGTGGCAGACCTCTCCTGACCCGCCCGCTGCTCCCCTCAGCAGTGTACTTCGTCAATCTGCCTGTTCTGTTCCCCACTCTGCCTCTGGTGAAGCCTCTCACCGCCCCTGAGCCTCTGGTCTGTACCCCAGTTCTGTATGCACAAATAAATAAATCTTTAAAAAAAAAAAAAAGTGAAGCAATTGACTCCCACAAAAAAACCAACAGAAAGAGCCTAAAGCGACAGTGAAAACTAAAACGAGGATAGGTTCTCATCACAACATTCAATTAAAGACAGTAACTAACTGTAAAACTACTAAGCTTTTCCTAAAACCAGCAAACTACAGATGAATACATGTTTCTCAAATCTGCTTCAAGCATGAAAATTCAAAGAAACACATGTATCATATTAAGAATTGATGAACTCTTTAGTGGAGGGAAAAAGGCCTAATATGATAAATAAAATTTTCTATACCAACAAAGCAATACTGTCAACAAGGCACAAAGTACCTGAGCCACTCACCATGCTGATCTGGGTGCCCTCTCCGCCCTGAGGTAATGACTGAGAGCAAAGCCCAGGTTGGCCTTATCACCTGAAGAAAAAGACTCCACCTGTAGGCTGGGAGCTTGACTCACTTAAAGGAGCACAGCCCCTTTCCTCCTTACTCATGTGTTTATACTATCACAGTTTTCCTATAATCTACATGTGCTCGGTATGTAACTCTCACCACGTAGCACATGCTGATTTGGGAAGGTTATTTATCCCAAACTTTTAGAACATATCACGCCTAGATTAAGGAAACTACAGTTATATTTCTCCATTTCCCAAAGTTGTATGATGAAGTGATACAAGCCAAGTTTCTTGAGCAATCAACATTATACTGATTACTGAATATTATACTTATCATGCTAAAAGCATTTCATTAATTCAAAAGAAGATCAAGTGAAAAAATGAAAAGGACAGAAAAGATAACACAAACATGGAGACAAGCATAAAGCACAAAACAAGATAATGCATCTTAACCCAACACTTCGATCGTGCCTTAAATTTAATACTAAATTCCTCCCTGACTTCTCCAAGATTTGGTCAAATAATTCTTTACTCTCTTCTTTATTATTGCTTTAAGGTGTTTTTTAAACATGTAATTCAAAAGTTTTGTTTGGTGGTAAAGGATGTACAAGTAATTTATCACATTACTGGAGATGGGATTCCATTTGTTTATTTTAAAACATGTTTTGGATGGATCTATTTTTTTAAAAAAAAAAAAGGTGAGAATCTGTCTTTCAATGAAAAATATGTAATATAGTGAACATTTATTGTGATTACCAATGTGTTTGGGTCTATTCTTACCAATTCACCTTATGTTTTCAATTGACTTGTTTTCAATATTTTTATCTTACTTTCTTCCTGTTCAATAGATTAAATTTTCTTTGTACCACAGTTGTTTCGTTAGTGGTTTGGAAGTTGTAAAACATTTTTCAGTACTGACTTTTACTCTTGAATCTGTTAAGTGTATTTTTAATCATATATGTAATTACATATGCAATATGTATTTATATTTTAATAACTAAGATTCGAATTTTACCTACTTTAGAATCTTAGGAATATACTCACCCTTTTACATATACACGCACACACACATATACACACTTGTTCAATCTTCCTCCTTTGATCCCTACACTCACACTCATTTCTTACAGTATTGGTGATATCTTGCAATTTTGTATTATATAATTATTAAATATAATTTTGTGCACTGGCCACCAAAATTATTTAGGGCTAAATTTTTTATACCAAATTATAGGAGAAATATAAGTCATCATTCTTTTCACAATAGTCATCACTACAAACCACTTATTTTTCTTTTCTTTTCTTGCTGGACTCCTTGTGTTGCTGCACTACACATGCAGGTAGTTCTTTAACTATGTGAGTTTGAATATGGAATTACTTGAATATGGAATTTTAGGTTCCAAATCACATTTTCTCAAAACTTTAAAAATTTTTTATCATTTTTTATGTTCAGTGGAAAAACTATTGCACTATTCTGATTCTTTGTTTCTTGTGAATAGACAATGACCTCTTAGTAAGATAGTCAAAGCTAGAAGAAATTAATCCCAGCCCATTGCTAATTAATAGTGCTTTTCCTCATCATATATTTTTCTTCTCAAGCTTTATTCTCCTTTGTATGGCAGCTTACGAAAGGTATTTAGCTTCAATACCTACAGCATTCTTCCAATTCTGATTTTTCTGCAAAATCTAAATCTAAGTGTCCGATGAGAGAACTGAAGTATACATGTTGCAGAATGCTAAGTGGATTGTTGGAAGTGGCATAAGAACATGTAGCTGGCAAGAGGTTCACTGTGCATTTCCTGGATTTTTCCTCTAAAATCAGTTACTAACAGTATAGAAGTGTATAATCTTACGAGTTGAAAAAAGAACAGTACAATATGTATCACTTGATATAAAGTTTTGCTAAACTAGCTAGACTTTTTATATACTGTAACAGAACATATTTTAGAATTATTGATTTATTAATATTAATATACTGTGCCTTTAATTCAAAATAATCTTTATGCCAAAATAGCTTATATAAATGACACATTCTATCTCCTTTACTGTGTACATCATTTTATTTATTTTTTTTAAAAAGATTTATTTATTTATTCATATAGAACTGGGGTACAGGCCAGAGATGCGGAGGGTGAGAGGAGTCACCAGAGACAGAGTGGGAAGCAGAACAGGCAGATCAAGAAAGTACACTGCTGAGGGGAGCAGTGGGCGGGTCAGGAGAGGTCTGCACGCCATGTGGACTCCTCCAGGGCAGGCAAGAATCGAACTCATTGCGGAAGTGGCTTAAGCTTCTCAGTGCAGTGCTTTAACCCGCTGCGCCACCAGGGAGGGCCTCTTATTTTTTAGGATATGTTTTCAGAAATAAAAACAGTGCTAGAAATGTAAATTGGTGCATTTGCTCTGAAAAACAATAGAGGTTCTCAAAAAAATTAAAAATAGAATTATCATATGATCCAGCATTCCCATTCTGGGTATCTACCTGAAGAAAATGGAAACACTAACCCAAAAATGTATCTGCACTGGCATGTTCATTGGAGCATTGTTTACAATAGTCAAGACATGAAGCAACATAAAAGTCCTTAATGGATGAATGAAGAGAATGTAGTATTTCTATACAAAGTAGTATTATTCAACAGCAAAAAAGAAATCTTGCCATTTCCAGCAACATGGATAGATCTTGAAGGCATTATGCTAAGTAAAATAAGTCAGAGAAAGACAAATACCATATTATCTTACTTATGTGAGGTGTCTAAAAATAAGAAAACAAAAAATTAAACAAAAAAAAATCAGGCTCATAGATACAGAGAGCAAATTGGTGGTTGCAGAGGCAGGAGTAGGAAGTAGGGGAAAACGTATAAAAGGGGTAAAAAAGTACAAGCTCCCAGCTATAAAATAGTCATACGATGTAACATATACCAAAATGCCTAGGTAATAACTTTATTGCATATTTGCAACTGCTAAACAAATCAACCTTAAAAGTTTTTATGACAAATTATAACTACTTAGGTGAAGGATCTTAATTAAATTTATTATGGTACTTCTTTCAATATATACAAAAGTCGGGTGTGAAACGATTATAGTATGTATATCAATATTACTTCAATAAACAGTAAAATGCTTTGTTTGCCTCGGCTTGTGATGACGACCCTAGTAAATAGTAAAACACGTGCTGAGACTTGGGGATTTTGAATGGCGACAATTAAATGCAATAAAATGCACTCCTCCTCCGAAAGTTGGCTTCATCACCCTGCCAGGCCACCTTCTGATTTATGTAATGAGGGCGGGACTTCACGTTTTCGAGCAGCCCCGTACTGTCTCCTGATTGGCTGTAAGCCACGGCCGCCATTTTCAAACCCCCGGAAGATGGCGGCGGCGTCGCTCTCCTGACAGCAACATCTCGGGGCAGAGTGGTGGGCGCGGTGCCCATTCCAACCAGCCGCCGGGCACTGGCCACCGCCCACCCCCCCTTCCGCGCCATGGAACCCGAGCTGGCGGCCCAGAAGCAACATCGTCCGCGGAGGCGAAGCCGTCGAGCCTCCGGACTCAGCTCGGATGGCGCCGCTGGGCCTGCAGACACCCGGGGGCTTGAGCCTGCTGACACCCGGGAACCCGGGCCTGCTGACACCCCGGGGCCGGAACCCGACGGCAGGTGAGGCAGGGGGTCAGCAGAGACTGGGGACCCGGCATCAGGCCCGAGGCGGGCTGTGCGATTGTGGGGTAGCGAGGAGATCACCCTCCTCCTCCCCTCTCTGGCAGGGGCGGGCTGGAGTCTCTTCTACTCCACCTCCTCCTCTTCCGACCCTTCCTGGGGGCGGACTGGCCACTCCCCCTCCTCCGGCGTCTCTTCGGGGTGAGGGCAAGCTACTCACCCTCTCCTCTGTCTCCTCCAGCTTTTCGGACCATTCTTGGGGGTGCAAGGCCTCGGGCAGCCCAAAGGGGTGTTTATGTCCAGCAGGTTTCTGGCTGGAAAGTGGGCAGTTCCTAAATGAGAACCTGAGGCTAAAATTGTCAGCGCCTCGGCATCTGCGGAGTACCGGGAGCGAATCCGTCCTTGGAGCCCGGACTTCTTCCAAAGCTACGAAACATTTATCCTAAAAATGATTGTTAAAATATTTTAACACAAGTCTTGAGAATGGCCAAGTTTGCGAACGGAGCACAGCTCAACACGCCAGATGATTCCCTTGTAAAGAAACCAGAAAGGGTGGTCGGTGACATTTTTAGCTAGTGATACATTTCACATTCTGCTTCACATATCAGGGGGGAAAAAGGTGGGGGGTTGCGGGGGGTACAGATGAAGACCGGAGAATTTACGTCTGGAAGAGGAGCAGAGAAAAACTCCTCACCTTGCTCCCCTGTTATCATAATGGAGATGGTAGGTGGGCTCTGATGCTCAGTTGTTGGACCTCATGTCTCTAAAGCATTGTCCTCATTTGTGAAATGGAAATTATAATAGTACTCACTTCCTATAAATTGTGAATTCAGTGAGATGATGCAAGTAAGGTGTACACATAGTGCCTGTACACAGAGCTCTCAATAAATTTATTGGGTTTTATTTATAAGAATAATTACACATCTGCTCCATCTCTTCAAAAGACCCTTTGGTTGATATAACACTATTGCTTAACTCCAGTTACTTCCATAATTCACATTCTAGTCATGGATGGATGTGCCAATCCCTTTTCTGAAAGATAGGAAAAGACCTTTCTTTAACAAATAGGCACTTACAAACTCATTGTAAATTACACTGCAGAAAGCTAGACTTTTTCATTAGATGGGTGATTTTTATTAATCAAAGTATAGGGATTTAATCCTTGTCTAAATAAACATTTGTGAATTCTTTGTACCGATTATAGCCTTTATTTAAGAGGCAGTGAAAGAGCAGAAAGAAGTCATTTCTGAGACTGAGAAATAAAAGAACCTGGCAAAACTGGTTAAGGGTAAAGGAAATTAAAATATCAAAAAACATCAAATAGAGGCAGTATTAAATTCACTCTTCCATTCACTCAGTAATACTGTTGAGTACTGGCCTGGTGCTGGACATCATTGTAGATACTAGGATACTGGTGAACAAAACAGATGAAAAACTTAGGTTGTCATGCTGTGAAGAGAATTAAAGCATGGTAAGAGGGACAGAGGGAGGTAGAGAGTTGTGTTATTTTTTTTAACAATCACAAGGGGAAACCTCTGATGATAATGATGACACCTGAGCAGAGATATGAAGGATTTAAGAGACTAAGTAAGTCACATAAATACTCTGAGGGGCAGCAAGTGCAAAGGTTTTGAAGGAGAATCCCATTGGGAGTGTTTAACTGAGATAACTGGATTGAATGAATGAATCAGGGTTGTCGGAAGATGAAGTTAAAGAGATGAGGGGAGAGATTGTGTATTATCTGGTAGACCATCAAAAGGACTCTGAATTGAAACTTTTGAGATGGGAAGCAAAAAGGAAATGTAATCTGTATTTTCAAGTATTCTGGCTTATGTAGCAAAGATAAAAGCAGGAAGACCAATTAGGTTATTGAAGAGTTCACATGAGAATAGTAAAAGTAGTGCTGACAGAATTTGCAGATGGATTAAATGTGGAATTAAGAGAAAAAGGAATGAAGGATGACACCAAAGTTTTTGTTCTGAGTGCTGCAGTGGATTTCTGTTCTCAGAAAGGAAGTTCACTTTGGAATATGTTATGAGTGTCCTGTTAACAACTTCCTCACAATTCTTTTTTGATTTTTTTCTTTCTTTTTTTTAATCTTTTATTGAAGTATAACACAGAGATGAAAAAGAAACACATGTAAGTGTTTAACTCGCTGAACACTTAAGTATAAAGTGAGCCCACTTGTGTAACCAGATATGAATGTGGGAGTTGTAACAAATAGACTTAAAATCAGGTACTAGGAAGTCATATAGATAGTATAAAGAAGAGTTCGGACCAACCCCTAAGTAAGGTATTCCCACTGTTTTCTTTTTTTAATTGAGATAACCTTGGTTTATATTGTTATTTGTGAATTAAAGGTCAGGGTAATTTGCAAATGGAGCAGCTAGTGAGATAAGAAAAAAAAAAATGAAAACATACAAGAGGCCAAATGAAATGAAGCATTTCAAGAAAAAGGACATAGTGTCATGTTATAAAAGAAGGATTGACAGTTGCTAAGAATTAAAAAATCTGGTAATGAGAAAATACTGATCTTAAGTTTCTACAGAATAGTTAGGATAGTGTATTTACAATGTTTGCAGTGGGTTGGGAAGAAACGAGTTGTGATTTATTCAAGAAATATGTCAGACACTAAGAATATGGAAATAGAAAATCTGGTCTTTGAACTAAAAAGCTTATGACCATATAGGTACGAGAGACAAATTTGTAATAGTGACTAATGAAAATTACTATAGAGGTATACAAAGAATGTCATAGAAACAGATAAAATGCACATTTATCTTAATTGCAGGAAATGCTTCCTATTGTAGTCCCCAAGTTTTAGAAGACCACTTTAGAGAGTAGTGGAAAAGGGTGATTTCATGTGGGAAGAAAGATGTTAAAAGGGCCAGGAGCAAATGAGCATGGTGAGTTTAGGTATCATAACTAGCACTGGCTAGATACAAGTTGTGTCTGGAGGAGAATGAGATGGAATTAAGAATAGTTAAGGGTGAATGATTATGCTGAAGAGGTAATAGCTGCTACATAATGAGCTGAGCAGGGAAATTTACAGCTCTAAATGTCTGTCTTAGAAAAAGATTGCAAATAAATAACTTTTCTATCTTGAGATCCTTAACAGAAGGCAAACTAAACTTAAAGCAAGTAGGACAGAAATATGAAGGTTAAAGCAGAAATAAATGGTTGTTTTTTCATGGTAAATCCAGAAGTGTTTACCTTATAAACTAGTATCTTGATTTTTTGTGGTTTGTTTTCCTTCTTAAATGAAAGGAATTATTTATATTGTCCCATACTTTTATGGGTTGTGTTTCTGCCATTTATAATTCCAATTCAACTCTTAATTTACTATGGACAGTGACACAAATCATAATCTCTGAAAATATAATTTGAGTTCACAATGAATGAACAGGGTGATTCCCTTTTTGATCATCACTTTTACCATTGCAATTACTGCTATGTTCAAAGTAAAACTAGTATAGTATAAAAACAATTTACATTGTCAGTAACTTTTACACTAAATAATTAAAATAATTGAAAGGAAGTGTCTTAGAGGTCAAGGAATAATGATAATGGTGTTAATAGGAAACAGTACAACATGCTAGTTCGTTCGTGTATTTATTTTATACTTGTGTATTTATTTTTTTTAATTAATTTATTTATTTGTGCATACAGAACTGGGGTACAGGCCAGAGGCTCAGGGGTGGTGAGAGGCTTCACCAGAGACAGAGTGGGGA